AAACGCGCTAAACGCCCTTCTCCAACTACAAAAACCGTGGGTTGGAGCTCATTTCCCTCCACCCACGTTTCTCTATTTCCAACGGCTCACTCAACTTTCCCACCACCCACCCCAGCATCGACTGCCTACTAAGGCCGTTTGGACATGGTACATTTTAGCTAGTATTCTCTGCATGTACTAGCTTGTGTTAGAACTCGATGGATATGTTGTAATATGCCATTTGCAATGAGAACGATGCCAAATGATAAAAACAAGAAAGCAAGCTTTCTCAATTCATAACATTAATAGAGTTCAGTGGATTGATTGTACCGAAACGCAGTCGAAATGTGCAATCTATAGTCAGAAGGTTTTGTCCCACGCACATTTTGACTTGAGGAGCAGGGAACGCGCTGTCATGTTCATACCAAGGCCTTGCCTTGCTCACGCCTTATTCACGCCTGTTTATGCCATCCTCTCGCCTGAGGAGCGAAAATGACGAATCTGGCGAGACGCGTCGTACGCCCAGCGCGGAGAACAATTTGTTTTCGCTCAAATGGGCTGTGCACTGGTCGTAAAGTTCGCACGGCGGGAAGTTGGAGTGGTTATGTTTTTCTCTCTCGGAACCAGGTTCGGCTTCGTGGCGTCGCTCGGGCATTTCACCGATTAGTACCGTCAGATTTATATTTCCCGTGGTAGTTATTGTTTGGCTGACCATTCTCCTCACTAAGCTCGTCGGCTCTTCCTCTTGCCAACAACCGACTCGAGTTCGCAATGACGACGGCGACAGCAAGGCTTCTGGAGGAAATTATGAGTGTAGGGACAAAGTTAGCCGTTCGATTTGAGGATGCAAGGAGGGAGTTGGAGGCGGAACAGCGACAGAGAAACTCTTCGGAAGTCACGGAGAGCCCAATGCTGATTGATAGATTGGAAAGGCTGGAGAAACTTCTGAAAGAAACGAGGGAGGAGAACATCAACAACATAAGCGAGCTCAAGAATGAGTTAGCAGCTGAGAGGGCTGCAAGGGAGGAGAAGGAAAAGGAGGTGGCTGCATTGACGGCGCGACTCTCCCAGGCAGAGACACTGCTTTCGGATCAGAAGGAAGAGACGTACAGGATTTGGGAGGTGAGAATCTAAGTTGAAATTCAATGTGTGCACTCAATTGTTCTAGCCTAGTAATTGTTCTAGCTCTGACTTTTCCCTGATGTGTCGATTTCAGGCATTGTATCCAGCTTCATGTCAGTCAACAACTGCTGCAAATGCTCAGGATGAAACAAGGGTTACAAAGAAGGACGTGGAAAGTTTTGTGACTGCATTGATAGCACAATCGTCACAGGCAGAAAAAGCTATGGTGCTGCAGAAGGACGAGATGAGGAAGATCTGGGAGGTGAGAGGTTGACCTGTTGAATGTTAGTGTATTGCATTTGTCTGTTTTCCGTGGCTAAATTCAGGGTGTTGTGATGCTTTCAGGCTATTTTTGTGACTTCGCAGCATCGACCCACTCCTGGAGATGTGATGATCATGCGTGCTCATCCGAACACGACGGCATTAGAGCTAAGCTACAACGATAACGTAACTGAACTTGGACTCCATTACCTTCCATACTTGACCTCCCTAAAATGCCTCAAGATGCTCCAGTGTAGCCATGTAACGGCTTTGAGGCACCTCTACACCATGACAAGGCTGGAGGAGCTGAAACTTGAATCATATGATTATGATGATTCAGTGGCTATGGGGATCAGCAACCTGACGGCTCTCCGTCGGCTCGAACTGAAAAATACACGGGTTTCAGATAAAGGTCTGGCTCATCTCACATGTCTTGGCTCCCTCAAAGTCCTGATCCTTTCATTGTGTAACGGCGTCTCGTCGGCTGGCATGGAGCATGTGGGGAAGCTCACGAGCCTTGAAGCTTTGGATATTTGTGCATTGAATGTGAGGGACGATGGGGTAGCTCTTCTTGCACCACTGTCAAAGCTGACATGGCTCTCTTTGCCACAGAGTGTGACTATCCAGGGTGTGAAACACCTGAAGGCCCTTCCTTGCCTCAAGAAGGCTGGAGTAAAGGACAGGACGACAGCAGAGATGCTTATGGAGCACCTTCCTAATGTGTATGTTACTCTTACCACCGTCTACTCGTTTTCTCCACCACGCGCATAATTTATTGTTAGACATATTTATCTTGTTAAATGTAGCTGTTCACATGTTTGCATGGACATTCTTGGCCTCAATCATTGCTTCTGCCTGCACCGTATCGGTACCTACTACGACATTAATAACAGATTGATCCATTTCATCGTGGACTCGCATTGATGTATATTCTCAAAGTTTGCAATCTTCCTGTGCCCTGAACGGGCACTTGCCACGACTGTCTCATACCTCTTGAGAACACGTGCAGCACATCATGTTCTTCAGGGCACAAACGTTGCCCTCCTAGACCTCTCCATGCACACACAGCACACTGCCTCACCACCCTCAACTCCCTTCACCAACCACTGCTCTTCCTCCTCTCTCCCCCTCGTCTCCCTCCTGCCCCTCCTCCGCCCCACCTGTCTCTGCACCTCCCTCTTCCTCTTTTGCTCCTCTTTTATCTCTTCAGTCCAAGGCGCCTCTGGCTGGTGACCCCACCCCTTGATGCATGCGTGTGGTGGAGTGAGAGCACGGCTCTGGGTGCATCTCGACTGGATGCCACCTGAATTGGTGGGCCTCCCAGGGCTGCTACCACTGGCACACCTGCTCCTGCTACAGTCCCTGCTACAGTCACTGCCACAGTCCCTGCTACAGCACCTTTTCGTCCCTACTTCTCCTGGACAGCTCAAACAGCTGTTGCTGGGGCTGGTGGTGGTTGCGGTTCTAGTGTTGGCATCGTCATCTCCTGCTTCTCCATCCTCGTTGGTAGAAAATGCGATACAGTTCAAGAGCATGCGCTGCCGCTGCTGCTGCCTCTGTTTGTGTCGTGCATCCTCAACACCACCGCCACCAGTGCTGCTACCGCCACCACTGACACCACACACACCGCTCTCAACTTCACCACCACCACCAGCACCACCACCACTAAAACTACCAGCACCACCACCACTACAATTGTTGCTTGAATGCAACACTCCAGCCCCTGTGTGCCATCTCTTCTTCTACGGGTTAACAGGGAGCCCATGTGCAGTTACACAGGGATACTGCTGTGAGCAAATCAAGGCTGCAATGACAGTAGTAATCTGGGTAGCATCAGGACTCACCACCATGCAGAAGCACATGCAACTTAACATTTCCCGGGCTCCACTCGGCGGTTGCTTCGCTGGTTGCTGCTGCTTACATGACGCTGCTTCGCTGTTGATGGCAGAGGGGCTGGGCATGGAGAATACTGCAGCGATGGGCGAAGGTGCGACAGGGGGAGGTGCGACAGGGGGAGGTGCGATGGGGGGTAAAGCGGAGGTACCAACACATTGGTTCCAAAATCACGGCACATTGGCTGCTTGGTAGGCATGAGGGCATTCGAATGCTGTAGCTCCAGAGTTGGCCGCTCTCAGCATTAGGTAATCAGTCAGGTGCATTATCAGGTGCTTTGACATGTCTTGTGTCAGGTGCTTGATCAAGAGTCGCACATCGGATATCGTTCCCTCTCCAACAGCCAATCCCCTCTCACAAGCTTCCACACCCCGTAGCTTCCACACCCCCCTTTCTTACTCACACCTTCCTCCTCCTCCGCCGTCTCCTTGCCCCTTCTCCCCCCCCGTGGCAAAAAGTGACTCAACGGAGGTTTGAAAAAAGCGAAGGGCGCGAAGCTGGAAGCACCGGCATCGGATCGCCGGGGCTGGGGCGACGGCGGTGCTGCTTCCCTGCGGAGCGATGTGAGGCTGGGGGAGGCTGAGCGCGGGCGAGTGGTCCAACACGGCCCTCGGTAATGCCGACGACCGCGCTGATTCTGGTTCCGATGCTGCAACTGATTTTAATTCTGATGCTCTGGTTGGAAAACCCTCATTTGCTTATGAAACAGTAGCGCGTAATGCCGCTGTGATAACGCGGCGGACTCGATTGATGCTGTTGCTTTGCTGTCGATTGATTTCGACCTTGACGATATGTACGCCGTTGAACCGGCCAAATCTGAAGCTCCCGTCGCTGGAAATCGCATTCCTGAGAAAAAATTCCGTTGCGAAGTTCGCGGTTCGCGGTTCGCGGATGTGGTTCCTCTCTCAAATGAGAAGGTGGTTGTAGCTATACTATGCGCTTTCGACCTAGCGGTTTCGTGTGAATCCAGCTCTTTCTCGTGCGACTGGATTTTTCCCATGCCACCTGTGGTGCCTAAACAACCTAAACAGCTGTACGTCTTTACCCGCCCCGGGGAATTAAACCTGCAGTTGACTCTCGAGTGTCATTTGAGCTTTCAGAAGACCAGTATGTCAAGGGCTGCTGTCAGAGCTCTCGCGGTTCGACCAACCCAGGCGCTGCCTACTAAAATAACTCAGATGTGGTTTGGTGAGAGCCATCTTCAAAGTGGTGATGTTGATCGCTGCGAGCTGTCACGAGAATAGCTCTGCGAACTGCAGCGAAGTAGAAAGCTCAGAAAATACACTTCGTGCTCAGTTACAATCTGAAACGTTTCGCCTGGTGCAGGTTCGTTTGGACGAGATTAGGAAGCAAGTTTTTTCACCGAACCGAGTGGTACCCTGCTAAAATGCACTAGACAAACATCATAAACCAGAGCAGAATCCCCTCCAACTCCAGACCACCTTGGGTATCACATGGTCCGTCAGTCCTGAAAGTTAGCAAACGATAACCAACCAGAAAGCTTACATTCGATTCCCTGGCAACCCCCTGCCAGCCTCCCAAAACCTAGTTCCAGAATCTCTCTGTAGCGAGAGAGTTACCTACGTGGTGTGTAGGTTTGCTCCTCTAGTGCCATGATGACGGCGACTGCAAGGCTCTTGGAGGAGATTGTGAGCGTTGGGACGCGATTAGCGGTTCGGTTCGATGATGCCAGGAGGGAGTTGGAAGCGGAACAGCGGCAGAGAAGAGAATGCTCTGAGAGCCCGATGCTAGCTGATAAGTTTGAAATATTGGAGAAACTTCTGAGAGAAATGAGGGAGGAGAATACTAAGAGCATTACCGAACTGAAGAACGAGCTAGCAGCTGAGAGGGAGGATAGTCATAAAAGCATAACCGAACTGAAGTATGAGCTAGCAGCTGAGAGGGCTGCAAGGGAGGAGAAGGTAAAAGAGGTGGCTGCGCTGACAGCTCGACTCTCGCAGGCAGAGAAAACGCTTTTACATCAAAAGGACGAGACGTGCAAAATCTGGGAGGTTAGTGGATAAGTTTTTTAAGCATGTCGCCAGAAATCATAGTAAATGTATGTCTAGTTACTCCAGCTCGAGCTTTTTTTACCGTTGTGTGTCAATTTCAGGCAATTCCTCGGGCTTCATGTCAGTCAACAACTGGTACAGATGCTCAGGATGAAGCACGGGCGTTAAGGAAGGAGATGGAAAATGTTGTTAAGGCATTGACGACACAGTTGGCGCAGGCAGAGGATACGCGGGTGCAGCAACAGGAGGAATCGAGGAAGCTGCGAGAGGTGAGAAGTTGATGTGTTGGGGGTATGTGGTTGTAACATGTGCATTCTCATCCGTTGCCATGGCTAATCTCCATAACGTTGTGATGCTTTCAGGCTATCTATCTCACCTCGCAGCAGCCACCGACCAAAACAGATGCGAAAATAATTCACGCTGATGAAAACACAACTGTTCTGCAAGCACACAGGTTTGATGAGCCACTAACTGACTGTGGACTTCTTCACCTCCCTCACTTGACGTCCCTAAAGCGCCTTGAGATTTCCCATTGTGTCTACAACACGGCCTTGAGACATCTCTACACCGTGACATGGCTGGAGGAGCTGCAACTCAAATCGGATATTTTCGATGATTCAGTCGTTTTGGGGATCAGCAACCTGACAGCTCTCTGTCGGCTTGAACTGATTGATACACGGGTTTCAGATGAGGGGCTGGTCCATCTGACATGCCTTGGCTCCCTCAAAGTGCTCAATATTACACGTGGTAAGAACAAATTCTCGTCAGCCGGCATGGTGCACCTGGGGAACCTGACCGTGTTGGAGGAGCTGAAACTTGAATCGTACAATTTTGACGATTCAATGTTTTTGGGAGTCAGCAACATGACGGCTCTCCGTCGTCTTGAACTGATACATACACGGATTTCAGATGATGGGATGGCTCACTTGACACGCCTTGGCTCGCTCAAAGTTCTCAATCTTACACGTGGTAAGAGCGTCTCATCGGCTGGCATGGTGCATTTGGGAAAGCTGGCTTCGCTGGAGGAGCTGAAACTTGAATCGTACAATTTCAGTGATTCAGTGGTTCAGGAAATCAGCAACCTTACGGCTCTCCGCCGGCTAGAACTGTCAGCGGCACCGTTTTCAGATAATGGGCTGGCTCATTTGACTCGCCTTGGCTCTCTCAAGGTCCTTATCCTTTCAGGTGGCAATAACATCTCGGCGGCTGGCATGGTGCACCTGGGGAAGCTGACGAGCCTTGAAGCGCTGGACATTGGTGGATTGAGTGTTAAGGACAATGGTACTTGGAATGAGATGTACTACGATATATCAGCCGATCTCCCACCTCTGTCAAAGCTGGCATGGCTTGCTCTGTCAGGGCGCGTAACTGACCAGGGTATGAAGCACCTAACATGTTTTGAATCCCTCAAAACAATCTGGTTGAGGTCCTCGTATTCTGATTCCCATCGTTTTGTTGGGCACTTGAAGAACCTTTCTGGCCTTGAGACAGTTGGGGTAAAAGACAGTCAAACGGCAGAAATGCTATCGGAGTTCCTTCCGAATGTGCATGTCATGGTCTTCAATTACCCTGAGTGTAATCCAGCATAAGCATGTATCTCAGAATGCTTGTACGGTAGGTCTCATATGTTTCAGCTTTCTTATATGCATGCATGCTTTGCAATGTCAAACCTATATTCCCAGGTTTCTGCTTTTACGTACCGTATGTGTAGTATTTATAGGCACAAGCAATTTCACTTACAATCTTGCCTGTAGCAATAAACAAGTTTATCATTTACGGTATCAATGAAATTAAGCTTGTGGATGTATCAGCAGCACAAATTGACGGCAGTTGTCATGCAGGTCCCTGACCATCTGGAAACAATTGATGTGCGGCACAGCATGTGCTCACGTGGCACAAACACTGCCTTCTTCGGCCTCTCCATGCAGACACAGCATACCTCCTCCTCCCCACCCTCCCCCATCTCCCCTCCTACTGTCTCTCCCCCTATTCTCCCCTTCAACCCTCTTCCATCCCCCCCTGGCTCTGCGCCCTTCTTCCTCCTCCTCTCCTCCCCTCTGCCTCTGCAACCCCATGTGCCTTAGCTAATCAACCTTCAGATACGGTAATGAAGCATGTTATTGTTACTGAGGCTGCTGCTGAATAACCCACTCTTGATCTGCCACCACTCTGCTTCCCAACCCACTGCAATAGAAATGGTCCCATCACCCATCGCTCAATCTGCCACTCTCTTTGCCGGCCTATGTGCATCTCTCTCCATCACACCCCTCCCCTCCCCCCCTCCAAACACTGTCCAAGGGAAGTCGCTGTTGCTCCTCCTGTCCACTGCCTTGCTACACCTGCTGCTGCGCCAGTGTTACAACTGTGGAAAAATATGCAGCAATCAATTCTATGCCTTGCCTGTGCCCATTCTGCATCTGCACCTCATGCTGGGGAAAACAACACCCACCCGTTCATGGAAAGAAAATGCTGTTGCAGCTCTTCTCCCTGCCGCTGCTACTGCTGCCATTCCCCTTCCTACGTAGCCGATGCTGCTGCTCTTGCTGCTGCTGCTGCTGGTGCTGCCGACGGCCCAGAATAGTGCAGCTGAGACGTCTGGAACGGGGTCGGAAAGTGCACAAGGTTCAGATGGGACAGATGGGGCAGAATGGACAGAAAAGCGCAGCAAGGGCAGACAATGCAGAAGGGACAAAAAGGGCAGATGGGTTAGAAGGGATAGAAGGCCAGTAGTCTGCGCACTTGGGCATCGCTGGCTCGCAGCACAACAACCATCGATTACGAAACTGACGGATTGAACGAATGAGATGGCTCAAACGGATTAGAGGGAGTATGGAAGACAGGAGCAAACCTGGGCCCGGCCGAACAGATTGTCGGGTGTGGAACGCAAAGCCTCCAGGCCCCATCGATAGCTGCAATAGTGGAGGGCTGTATTTCCTGGATAGCTGCAGTGAGGTCGGCCGTAATGCCACGGTCGCAAAGCAGCAGCACATGTGACGTGTCAAGGGAAGGTGGTGGCAGTAAAATAATGACACTGTAACACTGTGATTGCATCATCCAAGGTTGGGCAATCGAATAAAAAATATGTGAGCTCGTGCTGCTGCTTGACCTACTTCGCTCGCCGATGGCAGCTGCATTGCCGACAGCAGAGGGGCTGGACATGGAGAGTATTGCTGTGATAGGGGAGGTGCGACAAGGGGGAAATCATGAGGGGAGGTGCGATGGGCCGTAGGGGGAGGTGAAAGCAAGGGTTCCAACTTCGGGTGCTTGATCAGGAGTTGTGGAAGGAGCTGCAGCAAGGGGGGTTCCGAAAGTGAATTGGCTGGTGGGTTGGCACGAAGACATGCAGCTGCTATACCTCCTGGCTGGCCGCTTCCAATAGCCAAGTGCTTGTTCAAAAGCTTTATCAGGTGCTGCACATCGGATTCCCCTCGCTCTCCATCTGCCAATCCCCTCCCCGACCGAAGCTCACACACCCCCTCCTCGCTCCTCGCCCTACACGCCTCCCCCATTCTCACTCCCCACCCACTTTCCCCTACACTCCCTCCTCCTCCTCCGCTTCCTTGTCCAGTCTCCCACGAGCAGCAGAATGTGCCTCAACGGAGGTGTGATTGAAGCGAAGGGCGCAGAACTGCGGGTGGGAAGCACTCGTTAGATGGAGCATGAGCCAGGGCATGATAACGAGGGAGAAGAACATGACAGCACACGCGCTCCAAGCAGCCGCCACCACCACCAGCACCCGCAGCACCACCACCGCCGCCTGGGGTAACCCTTCCTGTACCCTGCTCACCCAGCGCTTGCGTGCTTGTAACGCAGCCACGGCTGCAGCGGCGCCTGCGGATGTGACTGTACCGAGTGGGGTTTTCTTGCCATTCGCGGCTGCTTGCGTGTTGGTGGTTGGGTATGAGCTGCCCATCCTGGCGGGAAATTCGCAGACGAAAATGTACTGTAGCCGTTCGGGCTTGATTTCGAAATCATACCTATATCTGAGCTTATACCGAGTTCGGATCTTGTAGCGAAGTACCCCGGGCGGCGGATTGTTGGGGCTGGAGCGATGGAGGTGCTGCTTCCCTGCGGCGCGACGTGAGGCTGGGGGAGGCGGGCGAATGGTCCAACACGACCCTCGGTATTGCCGACGACCTCGCGGATTCTGAATCTGGTTCCGATTTCGATGCCGACACTGCTGCTAAGTTTAGATTGTGATGCTGTCGGGGGAAATCCCTATACTGATGAAACAATCGGGGGGAATGCTGCTGCGGGTAACGCGGCTGACTCAACTGAAACTACTCCGTCGAATTCCATCCTTGATGAAATCGTCGCTGTTGAAACGGCCAAATCTGAAGCTCCCCTAGCTAGAAATCGTCTTCCTGGTTCAGCAGAAAATGCCTTTGCAAGCGTTGGGTTGTTTGCTAATGCGGTTCCGTCCTCATACTTTCAGTTGCACCCAGCTCTTTCCCGTGTGACAAAGCCGTTGGGGTCTTCCCCAAACTGCCACCGGTAGTGAGCTGCCTGAGGTAACCTAATTACATTATCCGCGACTTGGTGACCGCTTTTCACGCCGCTAACACTCAGAAATGCAGTGAATGTACATTCGTGGACCTTGAGTGCTCCGATCAGCAACGGCCATAAAAGATGAAAGGTATGAAACTAGGAAACGAAGAGCGGCTTTACACAGGCAGTGTTGGAAACGAAGAATTTCCGCAAGGTGCGAAATATGTAACTTCATAACTTCGCATGGTTCTGTCCCCCTCAAAACGAGGCCACCGTGTGTACAACAAGCTGGCTTCCAACCGTGTGGTACCTCACTGTAACGCGATGGTTTATGTATTGTTCGAACAATAGCCAACATTCTCGTCACTGCAAGGTCCTGGGCAACCAGGCTAATCTGGTGCTGTGCGTTTCGATACGTTAAAGAACGGTATTGAATATACCGTGTGGAAACCTCCCAGACCTACCGTACTTCCTAGCAGAAACATGCCAAACCCGTCGATACCCTACCACTACCAGCCACCCAGAGAATGACAGTGGATACTAGCTCGACCTTGGTATTCATCTTCAGATCGTTACCCTGAGTAAGCGTGTCGATTTTTCCAGTAGTCAACAAGAAGAGTGAAAATTCATAATGGCGACAGCGACAGCACGGCTTTTGGAAGAGATCGTGAGTGTAGGAACAAGGTTAGCCTCTCGATTCGAGGATGCAAGGAGGGAGTTGGAAGCAGAACAGCGACAGAGGAGAGATTTTACTGAGAGCCCGATGCTGACTGATAGATTTGAGAGCTTAGAGGCACTTTTGAGAGAAATGAGGGAGGAAAACAAAAGGCGTATAAGCGAACTTCAGAGTCAACTAGCGGGTGAAACGGCTGCTAGGGAGGAGAAGGAAAAGGAGGTTTCTGCACTGGCAGCTCGACTCTCGCAGGCCGAGGAATTGCTTGCGTATCAAAAGGAGGAAATCTGCAAGATTCGGGAGGTGAGCCACAGATAAGTTCCGAAAAGCGTGTTGCTGAAACGCGAATGATATAAATACCTCAACTCTTTTCTCTCTCTCTCGTTGTCGAATTCAGGCAAATTCTCCGGCACAGTCAGGAACTAATACAGTTGGTCAGGATGAAGGACGGGTTTCAAGCAAGGAGATGAAATCACTTGTGTCTGCGTTGGTCGCACAATCGGCGGAGGCAGTAAAGACGTTGGAGCAGCAAAAGGAGGAAACGAAGAAGGTCTGGGAGGTGAGACGTTAGCTTATTAGGGGTTTGTGTTGAGCATACGCATCTTTGTTTGACTGCCGGACTAATCTCCGAGGTACTGATGTTTACAGGCTATTTTTGTGACTTCGAAACGCGGACCGACCAGTGCAGATTTGAAAATTATCCATTCTCCTGCTAACACGACGGTAATGGACCTAACCGGTGGGACTATCAGTGATTTTGGAATACTTCACCTCCCATACTTGACATCCCTAAAGAGCCTCAATATTTCTTCAGCCTCCGAAGTAGCAGCTTTGACGAAAATTTTCACCATGACATGGCTAGAGGAGCTGAAATTTCAGTCAGCCTGCTTCTTCAGTGATTCTGACTTTATGGGAATCAGCAACTTGACTGCTCTCCGTCGACTTGAACTGAGAGATCCGAAGGTTTCAAAGTATGGGCTGGCCCATCTGACATGCCTTGGCTCCCTCAAAGTCCTCCATCTTTCTCGTTGTGTTAATGTCCCGTCAGCTGGGATGGTGCATGTGGGGAAGCTGATATGGCTGGAGGAGCTGAAACTTGAATCACACAGTTTTGATGATTCAGTGGTTCGGGAAATCAGCAACTTGACGGATCTCCGTCGACTTGAACTGATTGCTCCACAGGTTTCTGATGAAGGGCTGGCTCATCTGACATGCCTTGGCTCTCTGAAAGTCCTCATTCTTTCAGGTGGTATGAACATCTCGTCAGCTGGCTTGGTTCATGTGGGGAAGATGACGAGCCTTGAGGCTCTGGATATTGGCTCGCTTCGTGTGATGGACGATGGGACCCATCTTGCACCTCTGTCAAAGCTGACATGGCTTGCTCTTCCAGAGCAAGTGACTGTCCAGGGCATGAAGAACCTGACATGTCTCAATTCCCTCTCAACCATTTGGTTGAGGTCTTCCTACGATTATTCCCACAGCGTCGTTGGGGGTTTGAAGACCCTTCCTTGCCTTGAGACACTTGGAGTAAGGGACGGTCGGACAGCAGAGGTGCTTATGGAGCACCTTCCTACCGTGCATGTTACTGTCACCAGCAACCAGTCTGAGTTTTATCCTGCAGGAGGATGTTGACCTTTTTATCTTGTCACAATGTAGGCAGCTTTGTAAGCTTGTCCACAACTGTTCTGCCTGCACTGCAACAGTAACGCAAGCATATTAACAACTGAAGTCATTATCCACTCTTAGAATGAGTTTACAAACAACTGAGTTTGCAATCCTTGTTGTTTCCCGACTTCCTTCAATTCGTAGTACAATCTGACCGGTATCCTCAATTCACTGATTGTGTTAAGAGACGACTATGCAGGAATGAGGTCACAAGTGCTGCACGACCCCCCCTCTCCCTTCCACTGCCACCACCCTGTTTACCCAAATCCACTAGCTTCACTAATCGCATCAGTCCCACCATCGGATGCCTCTCTATCTGCCACCCTCTGTACTTCCACTGGTGGCGCTAGGGCCATTCAGAAGGGCTCAGGGATGGCTACTACACTTGATGTTTCGCCTTGTGTTGGGAAAGAACGTTGGCCCATCCATCCACGGGATGCTGCTGCAGTCATTTCCCCTGCGCCTGCCACCACTGCTACTCCCTTTCCTTCTTCAGCATTAGCAGATGCCTCTTAACCTCGTGGTGGGGAAAGCAGCACCCATCCATCCATCCATGATTGTCAATGATGCAGTGCTTGTTTACCCCTACGGGCCTACCCCTGGCGCCGCTGCTGCTCCCCTTCCTGATTCAGCGAATGCTGCTTCTGCTGCTCCTCCTAACTTCTGCTGCTGCTGCCGACGGTCCATCACCGTGCTGCTGGGACATCTCATGCCAGTGCACAGGGGGGGAAAGGGCAGAAGGGCCGGACGGTGAAAACTCAGCAGAAGGGGCAATGCTGGCTGGCACTGCAGCCACGGCTCATATTCTGGTAGACTGAGCAGATGGAATAGCTTAGGTGGATCGAGGGGAGCGTGAGGAACTGGAGCAAGGCTGGGCACAAACGGACTGTAGGGTGTGGATCGCAAAGCTTCTTGGCTCAATGGGGAGAAGGGCATGCCTTGCTGCAGAAAGGTCTGAAATAAGTTGGCTGTAAAACCTGCTGCGGCGCATTTAAGTCTGACATATCGAATGAATGGCAAGCGCCTCAGCCGCTGCTTCAAAGATTGCTGCTGATTTGGCGATTGTCATAGCTTCACGGGTTGCTACTGCCTTGACGATTGCTGCTGCCTCTACGATTGCTTCTGCCTACCTGTCACTGCTGCTTTGCAAATGGCAAAGGGGCTGGCTGGGCATGGATAGTGCCGCAGATGAGGGGGGGGGCGTGACAAGGGGAGGCGCGAAAAGGGGAGGCGCGAAAAGGGGAGGCGCGACAGCGGGAGGCGCGACAGGGGAATGTGCAATGGTCAATCAGGTGCATTATCAGGAACAGGTGCTTGATCTGGTATTGCACAGTGGATACCCCTCCCTCTCCATCTGCCAATCCCCTCTCCCAAGCTCGCACGCCCCCTCCCCCTTCCTCGCCTTCAACACATTACACTTTCTCACTCACACCTTCCTCCTCGTCCTCCTCCGCCTCCTCCTCCTTGCTTCTTCTCCCCGCAAAAAGTGACTCAACGGAGGAGTATCTGAGGGAAAGGTCCGGAACTGGGGTTGGGAGGCACCGGCGACACTGGAGCTGGGGCGACGGCGGTGCTGCTTCCCTGCAGAGCGATGTGAGGCTGGGGGAGGCGGCGCGGGTGAGAACGGTCAGAACAGCCCTCAGAAACGCTGAGACGACTTTTGAGTCAACTCAGCAACAGTCCCCTGCGACCAGGTGTGAGTCTGGGGGAGGCGAATGGACCAGCACGGCCCTCTCGGTATTGCCGGAGCGATCTGAGACAACTTCTAAGTCAACTCAACAGTCCCCTGCGGAACGATGAGAGGCTGGGGGAGGCTGTGCGCGGGCGAATGGACCAGCACAGCCGACCCTCGGTATTGCCAGAAAGATTTCTGAGATAAACAGTCCCTTGCCGAACGATGTGGGGCTGGGGGAGGCTGTGCGGGGTGAGTGGTCCAATACAGCTGACCCTCGGTACGACCGCGCTGACTCTGATTTAGATTCCGATTCCAATGCTGATGCTGATACCGCTGCTGATTTTAATTCTGAATCTGTGGGGGAAACTCTCTTGCTGATGAAACAGTAGCGGGTAATGCCGCTGGCGACTCGATTGCGACTGCTTCTTGACTAAGTTTCGGCCAAATCTGAAGCTCCCGTCGCAGGAAAACGTATCCATGGCTCAGCAGGAACCTCCGTTGCTAGCGTTGCGACGTTCGCAGATGCGGTTCCTCTCTCAACGGAAAAGGGGGCTCTATGCGCATTCGACCTTGCACTATTGTGTAATCCAGCTCTTCCCCGTGAGAAAACGCAATTGCTTTCTTCCCCATGCCACATATGCTGCATAAACAACCTAAACAGCATCATCCAAAACCCAGCTGTACGTTTGGACACGCCCCGGTTTGATACTAAAAGTTGAAATTCGAGTGTTCCTTGAGTCGTCCGAAGATCAGTAAGCCAAAGGTTGCTGTCAGAGCTCTCGCGCAATGACCAACAGACGCTGCGTACTAAAACAACTCGAATCGGGTTTGTTGAGAGCCATTGTGAAAATGGCGACGATGATAGCTGCGGACTGTCACGAGAACAGCTTCTGGAAGTGGTAATCATAATTTTGAGAATTGTTTTGCGAATAGCAGCGAAGCAGGTAACACATAAGTTACAGTTCGTGCTTGTTTCGCCTGGTGCAGGATGGTTGGGTAGGGAATAGGAGACAAGGTTTCCCCCCCAAACCGAGGGGTACCTTGCTGAAACGCACCAAACAAACAAACTCTAAACCAGACCAAAACCCCCTCAAAATCGTCTACCAGCTTAACCAGAACGTCCACAATCCGATTCTCTGAGCAGCTGAAACTTATGCAAGCCTCCCAGGAACAGATCCGTGGTCCATAGTAGCGTCAAAACCTAGGGAGTGTGTAGGTTTGTTCCTCTAGTCACCAAGCTGAGTCTAATTCACAATGATGACGGCGACTGCAGTGCTTTTGGAGGAAATTGTGAGCGTTGGATCGAAGTTAGCCGTTAGATTCGACGATGCCAGGAGGGAGTTGGAAGCGGAACAGCAACAGAGGAGAGACACAACTGAGAGCCCGATGCTGGCTGATAAGTTGGAAAGCCTAGAGAAAGTTCTGAAAGAAACAAAGGAGGAGTATGTTAACGACCTAAGCGAGCTTAAGAATGAGCTAGCAGCTGAGAGAGCTGCAAGGGAGGTGAAGGAGAAGGAGGTGGCTGCACTGACATTGCGACTCTCGCAGGCAGAGGATTTGCTTTCGCAGGAGAAGGAAAAAAACTGCAAATTGTTGGAGGTGAGCGCATGTAACCTTAACGTGAGTAATACGATGCTTATTTTTCCACTTCTAGCCCTTTTCTCACAATGTGTTTTCTTCAGGCCCCGATTCTTCGGTCTTCTTGTCAGCCAACAACTGCTACAGATGCTCAGGATGAAACACGTGCTATAAGAAAGGAGATGGAGAACATTGTGAAGGCATTGACAGCACAGTCGACGCATGCAGAGAAAATGCGGGTGCAACGAAAGGCGGAATCCAGGAAGGTTCTCGAGGTGAGATGTTAGCCTGTCTGTGGCATGTGGTTGAAACATGAGCATTCTGATCCGTTTCCGATGGCTAATTTCCAGGACATTGTGATGTTTTCAGGCTATCTATCTCACCTCGGAACAGCCACCGAACAAGACCGATGCGAGGATCATTCGTGCTGACGAAAGCACAACGTTTATGAAAGTGGAAAGGTCAGATGAGCCACTAACTGACTGTGGACTTCTTCACCTCCCTTTCTTGACATCCGTTAAGTGCCTGGAGATTTCCCATTGTGCCCACAAAGCTGCCTTGTGGCATCTCTACACCATGACATGGCTGGAGGAGCTGAAAATTGAATCAGACACCTTTGATGATTCTGTGGTTCTGGGCATCAGAACCCTGACTGCCCTCCGTTGTCTTGAGTTGGTAGATACAGGGGTTTCAGGGGATGGGCTGGCTCATCTGACATGCCTTGGCTCCCTCAAAGTCCTAACCCTTTCTCGTGGTAAGCACGCTTTGTCGGCTGGCATGGTGCATCTGGGGAAGTTGACACGGTTGGAGGAGCTGATTCTATCATACAACTGTAATTGTTGGGTGGACTTGGGAATCATCAGCAACCTCAAGGCTCTCCGTCGGCTGGAACTGATACGAACAGGGGTTTCGGATGATGGGCTGGCTCATTTGACATGCCTTGGTTCCCTCAAAGCCCTCGTTCTTTCACAATGTGGTTATCACATCTCATCGGCTGGTTTGGTGCACGTGGGGAAGCTGACATGGCTGGAGGAGCTCAAACTTGAATCGCATCATTTTGATGATACAGTGGGTGTGGGAATCAGCAATCTGGCAGCTCTTCGTCGGCTTGAACTGGTAGAGACACACATTTCAGAAGATGGGCTGGCTTATTTGACATGCCTTGGCTCCCTCAAAGTCCTCATCCTACATGATTACATCTCAGCGGCTGGAATGGTGCATGTGGGGAAGCTGACATGTCTTGAGGAGCTCAAACTTGAGTCACAAATTTCCAATTATTCAGTGGTTTTGGGAATCAGCAACCTGACAGCTCTTCGTTGGCTTGAGCTGATTGGGACACAGGTTACAGATGCTGGGGTTTCTCATTTGACATGCCTTGGGTCCCTCAAAGTCCTTGTACTCTCTTGTTGCCAGTACAACCGTTCCTACGGCTCTCCTCTTTCATCTGCTGGCATGGTGCACGTGGGACAGCTAACGAATCTTGAGGCACTGGATATCAGTACGTTGGATGTGAGGGACGATGGTGTCAAACATTGTATGTTTACATTGTGTAGGCTATAGTGGGTTTAGCCTTAGGAGGTACACAAACTTAGGGTTTCCTACTTGTACCCAATTTTGTGCTAGTTCATTCATTCCTGTTTCTTTCACTTTGACATGGTTTCAGAGCAGGTCCTCCGCTAGGACCGAATTTTTTTTAGGGCCCACCACTACTGACTGCCTACTAGCGCCCTCGTGCGCCCTACTGTCAGAGCGCCCTCGAGCGCCTCCCCCCAGCGCCCTCGTGCGCTCCTCCTTAGCGGCCCTGTAAGGCCCCGCGACCCGCGACCCGCCCCTTAGCGGCCCCGTCGGCCCCGCGAGCTGCCCCTTAGCGGCCCCTTACGGCCCCGTCGACCCCGCGCGCCGCCCCTTAGCGGCCCCTTACGGCCCCGTCGACCCCGCGCGCCGCCCCTTAGCGGCCCCTCACGGCCCCGTCGACCCCGCGCGCAGCCCCTTAGCGGCCCCTTACGGCCCCGTCGACCCCGCGCGCCGCCCCTTAACGGCCCCGTCGACCCCGAGCGCAGCCCCTTAGCGGCCCCTTACGGCCCCGTCGACCCCGCGCGCCGCCCCTTAGCGGCCCCTTACGGCCCCGCGCGCCGCCCCTTAGCGGCCCCTTACGGCCCCGTCGACCCCACACGCGCCCCACCTAGAGGCCCCGTCGGCCCCGTCGACCCCGCGCGCGCCCCACTCAGCAGCCCCGGCAGCCCCGCACGCGACAGCCACGGCC